TCGTTAACAACACTCTCCATTGAATTATAGCAATTATATTTATAAAGACAATCATCTCACTAGTTCATCATACATTGTCCTAGTAAATCCATATGATAGTTATATAATACCTTTCTAAATCGTTGTTCCAAATGTTATACCTTATTATTATTGATTATTTATGTTCTAAATCACTAAAGTTTGGTTTAAATTTTCATTTTTCATTTCCTAAATCGATCAAATAGTCTATTAGTGTCTCCTTGATTTTTCATCTGTAGCAACATATGTTGTTTCTGTTGTTAAATTCGCAACATGTAACGAAACTATTGCAACATATAATGATAACAAATGACTCTATTGGGGCTTAATTTAATTAAATTTTCACGTAATTCGATATGTAACACCAATATATAGTCCTACAACATGTCTAAGTAACAAATTATGATCGTTAACAACACTCTCCATTGGATTATGGGAAAATGCACAAGTACCCCCTCAACCTATGTTTGAAATCCCAGAGACACACTTATAATATACTAAGGTCCTATTACCCCCCTGAACTTATTTTTTAAGTAATTTTCTACCCCTTTTTAGCCTACGTGAAACTAGTTTTTTAAAAAAAGTCAACCATCATTGGGCCCACAAGATAGTGCCACGTAGGTCGAAAAGGGGTAAAAAATTATTAATAAAATAAGTTCAGGGGGGTAATAGGACCTTAGTATAGTATAAGTGTGTCTCTAAGATTTCAGGCATAGGTTGAGGGTATACTTGGGCATTATCCCTTGGATTATAGCAATTATATTTATAAAGACAATTATCTCACTAGTTCATCATACATTTTCCTAGTAAATCCATATGATAGTTATATAATACCCTTCTAAATCGTTGTTATTTATATTCTAAATCACTAAAATTTGGTTCAAATTTCCATTTGTCCTTTCCTAAATCGATCTAATCGTCTATTAGTGTCTCCTTGATTTTTTTATCTGTAGCAACATAAGCAGTTTCTGTTGTTAAATTCGCAACATATAACGAAACTGTTGCAACATATAATTATAACAAATGACTCTTTTGCGGCTTAATTCAATTAAATTGTCACGTAATTTGATATGTAACACCAATATATAGTCCTACACCATGTCTAAGTAACAAATTCTGGTCGTTAACAACACTCTCCATTGAATTATAACAATTACATATATAAAGACAATCATCTCACTAATTCATCATACATTGTCATAGTAAATCTATATGATAGTTATATAACACCCTACTAAATCGTTGTTCCAAATGTTATACCTTATTATTACTGATTATTTATGTTCTAAATCACTAAAATTTGGTTCAAATTTCCATTTTTCTTTCCTAAATCGATCAAATCGTCTATTAGTGTCTCCTTGATTTTTTATCTGTAGCAACACATGCAGTTTTTGTTGTTAAATTCGCAATATATAACGAAACTGTTGCAAAATATAATTCTAACAAATGACTCTTTTTAAAAAAGTGGCCCAATGATAGGCAAAACACATTCTGTTTAACAAAAAGTAAAATAGGTCCAACTCATTCTAGAATACGTTTTCATTTTCATTCCAAGAATAGATTTTCAAATTTCTCATCTTTGCCGCTTCAAATTTGGCGCCTTTTTCACTCTCTGTCTCTCTCTCCTGGGATGTCCTATTTCCTATAGGACCTGTCGCTTCCCATTAAATGTAATGATCTTATTTGATTTTCTGTCAATCACACTATTCTCTATTTAATTCGCCTTTGGTTAAACCATATTTCGGTACTCCCATGGTATAATGTATAATGCTATACTAAGTCAAATGCTACAAATGATTTGCTTTGTTGCCACATATAATTTTGATCCTTTCCATCATAATTGACATTTGTTTGAACAAAATCGAAATAATCATAAAAAACATTTTAATACATAATCACCTATCTAATCAATGGTTGTAAACACAATATTTTCATCGATCTTAGCTTTTTTTTAGTTCTATGCATCTCTGGGTCTTCATTGTCACTAACATAACCATTTCGAGCCTTTAAAATCCCATAATTCCATAGGAGTGAAGCATATCTCAAGCGAAGGGTGTTAGCACTAATTTCACATGATGGTACTTGTAATCCATCACTCAAATACTCAAGCATATGCATCAACAAAAATTTTACAATCTCTGCATGGTATATCATCAATCAAAAAAATATAATAGCATCACATTTCGATAGTCATAAGACAAAATAATACTGTTATACTTACATACTACTGCTTTCTTGTTGGGCAATATAAGTGACAGACTGACTTCGAATGAGAGAGATTTGTTCTTTCCTTGGTAACCTTTAAGAACTGACCAGTTGGTTCGCTCATTTTGCTTAAAAAATCCACTCAACACAAGGTACTTTGGCAACATTGTAACCATCTTTTGAATCTCGGAGGATAGTTTTCTATTAGACCTATTTGAGGACATGGAATCATAAACTTTTATGCACCGTTCCTTCAATGCAACGACTGCCAAGACCCAATGAAATTCCGCATTACTATTTGCAGGGACATAAACATCATCCATCAAGTGCCAAGACATTCCAAAAGGTATAGCATACCCTTTCATTATGTCAATGATTTTATCCTCATGTTCGCTAGAATTGTCAATGTATGTTTTGAAAAAATAACTAGTTGTGGTATATTGATATTTAGAATGAATCTGCTGCTTCGACTTCTTACGCAAATAGTAAAATATGACATCCACATACTGCACACATAGATGAAACAAGTGTATCAATTTAATTGTATATATTCATGTACTAAACAATACATATAAAAGTGGGAATGAATTTACCTCCTCATTCCAGCACCTATTGGGTGGAGACATTACGTAGAACCAGTCCTTATTCATTGAAAATGCAACTACTAAATCAAGTTGGTCAAATTCAAGTTTTGAGCAATTGAATAAGTAGTGATCCTCCTTGTTTCCTCTGCAATTGTGTAATCATTATAAATCATTATTTATTGGAAAATAAGAAGAAATTCTAATAATAGTTGAACGACCTTAGTTGACTTACTTTTTTGCATGATGCTTGTAAAGACCCTCGTTTATCCATTGCGAGAAGGATGCCATTAGTTCAATTGGACCCCCACCGTCAATGTTAAAACCTTCAAATGAATATTATCGCTTCACATCAAAACTGACAACTTCGACTTTCTTCCTTTTTTTTTGCTTTCGATTTTTCTTTCTGCTTCACCTTCTCCTTCTCTTTCTCCTTCCCCTTCTACTTCTCCATCTCCTTTGCCTTCTTCTTCTTCTTCTTCTTCTTCTCCTTCTCTTTCTCTTCATTTCCCTTCTTCTTCTTCTCATTCTCCTTATCCTGTTTTGCCTTGTTCTCATTCTCCTTATCCTGTTTTGCCTTGTTCTCCTTCTCCTTCTCTTCATTTGCCTTCTTCTCCCTCTCCTTCTCCTTCTTTGCATTCTTCTCTTTTTTCTTCTCCTTCTCCTCCTTTGCCTTCTTCTCCTTTTCTTTCTTCTCAATAATCATAGAAAGTGTTTGAGAAATAGATTTTTTCAACCTCCTACATTTTAAAGGTTGTGGAGTCTTCTTGGATCTTTGCACATCAATATTATGAGACATTTCCTTAAAAATATAAGTGAGTTTTTTAACACGACTAATAAAATGATCATGTTGCTGCTCACATTATTCGCATAGACAAAAAGAGCATTTCATGTTAGAAGATTGAGTTGTTGTCGTGAATGAAGATTCTTGTATCATTTCATCTACAAGGTAAATAAAAAATATTGAGATTTTACAATTCATTATAAAATAATAATAGCAGTATGTTGAAACTGATGGATAGTTTGTTGCGATAAATTAACATTATGTTGCCACATACACCTGCTGTTGCGCAACATATACATCTTATGTAGCAACAGATGCATCATATGTTGACACATCTGTACAGATTATTGCAACATTTGAATCTTATGTGACAACAGATGACCAACATATCACTAAAATGTGGCAACATACGCTAAATATATTTTGGACGCTTGAACAACACTATTTTTCTAAAATCATATCAATAAAATGACCCAAAAAAAGAACAACAGCAACAAAAAATGACTTTTCACTGAATGATAACATTACAAATACAAAGGTACATTTCTTCAAAATAAGGATTTCTTGAGTTGGCTGATTTTCTTTAAAAAATGATAAATAATACACACCATTAAGTCGATTATCCATTTTTTACACCTACAGATCATTTTATTGTTCATTAATCCAAGAAAAAACTTCAAAAATTGTAAAGTATTTCAAAAAAATAACTTACCATTTCTAGTCGAACACGGCTATAGTTCAAAAAGATGAGAAAATACTGGAGGACTGGAGAGGCAGAATAACAATTACAGAGAAAGAGTAACGGCGGATTTCCGAATTTCTAAGATTTTTTTCTTTTAAATGATTTGGTTTGAATTATAATTTTTTTTTTTATATTTTATAAAAAATTAGAAAGTTTTGAAAAATAGTAATTTGATCTCATAATTAGTTAATTAGATTTTAAACAGACCGTACCAAAAACAAAAAGAGACTTATTTGACACTTTCCCTTAATTTTCTGGAGTTATATATACATAATTTGGTTGGGGTTCGAAAAGGTTCTCGGAAATGGCGAATGTTTCAACATCAAAAGGAAGATGGAGCAACCTCTCGAAATATGCTTCTAGAATTTTCTCTGTCCTCATCTTCCTCCAGGTCCCTTTGTTCAGGTACTAATTCTTGATCCAGATTGTGATTCTACTAAGTTCGATTATGTGTAGATCTGGTTCATTCAAGCTGTTTTAGCGTATAATTCTGTATTTCCGACAATCTTTGCATTAAAGTCGTCTAAATCTTGAATTTAGTGCGTAAATTCTCTTAAATGTGTTCCATAACTTTTGCAAGTTCCGTTTAGATATTATCTACTTTCTTTGTCTCTGTTATCCCAAATTTCCACTTTCTAATACATCTATATTTTGTTTTTCTTACTCTCCTCCTAACACCTATTATCTCAATTTACGTCTTTCTTTTCGTCTCAACTCTTGCTTTACAAGTTAATATGCTTTTAACTTTTGCAACTATGGTTGGGCTAAGCTGTCTCTGATCTGCAGTTTCCAGATAATACTACGTTTTCCCTCTTAGACCAAGTGCTATGATTCCAATATATGCTTCTTAATGGTGTGGATTTTGATTGTTAATTTTGAACTTACATTTGGAAAAGTAATTGGGCTAGTGTTGACGTTTGTAATCACATTATTTATGTTTTTTCGAGTCTGTTAACTTGTCTCAGTGATAGTGATGGATCAGTTAGTTTTGAACATGGTAAGTGTGTCTCAGATTATTTAGTCACATCCAAGTAAATTGATGTGATTGAGCACCTGAAATGAGTTTTATTATGGAAATGGATTGATTGTGAAGTGGGGTGACAGGCTAGTACCATATAGAAGATTAGTTTTTGTGGGTTTTCCTAGGAAGGAGGGTGATTTCCAGGAAGGTTGCTGTGTGAGGAAGTTTCTTTTCGGAAAATGGTTTGGGGCTCCCTGTTGGAAACTCTATTTTGCTTAAAATGATTGATAACAAGTGTGGCCTTCAAGAAATGAATGATACCAAGTTAGGCCTTCAATAAATATGATTGAAGGTATCTTCTTTTAGTCTCTTGTGGTTATCTGCAAACGATCTCCTTCACCTGTTTTCTCTTTATTGCTCATAAAATTGACAATGACAAACTTTTGCTTTCCTGGAAAGACATTTTTTTCAATTATTTGCTTATGGCCTTTTCATGTTTTTAATGTACGTCTAGTTCACATAGCTTTTACACTTATTCGTTAGGAGATATTTTGTGCCTTGGACTTCTCATTCTTTCTTAAGAAAAAGGATACAGAGCTTGAGGATTTTGCAGTTCTACGATTCATGGGCTTGTTGGCTCAAATCTTTGCGTGTCATCTTACTTGTCTCTTCCCCATCCTCGCTGCCCCAAAAAGATAAAAAGGAAAAAACAGAGGGAGGAATTTTTTTGTCCCGCTCATCTTAGCTAGCCAAAGTCTTAGGGTGTGTTCAGTATGGAGGAATGTATTTTCCAAGGAAACATTTTCTCGGAAAACAAGTGGTTTCTTATTTATTGTCTTGTGTTCGGTACAAACTTACCAATTTAAAAAAGAAAAGAAAAATTGTCTTGAGTTCTGTATTCAAGTAAAAAAGTTATCCAAAAGCATTTGAGTATGGGGGTTTGGTGGGTTATTGTGAGTTGGGGAGGGGGTTTCTTATTTTTAAGGAGCTTCTTCTTCTAAATAAAATATTTTCCAAAATTTTTTACCAACTGAACACACCCTTAGAGTATTACTTTTCTAGTCTTTTTTAGGGAAGCTATAGAGCTTACATTGTTTTCAGGTTAGGGTGGTTCCATTCTGCTATCAATGTTAATGACCTCTGCCAGACCAAATAGTGCTTTCTTGATCAGTTCACTGTATGCCATACTCAAACTGAGAACTTGCTTGATTTGTTGCTGCATTTCCTCTTGCTTGAATGGCAGAAAATATGTTTCCTCTACTCACCTAAGCGATTTATTTCTCAGATATAGATTTTTGGTTTTACCATTGCATTTCAGGGAAAACAATCTAATATTTTAGGACATTTGGATTGCCTGAAGTGCTTAATATATGAAAGAGTATCACTTGCCTCATACATGGAATAGTGTGAAACCTTTTCTCCTTTTTCTTTTATGATAAAGCAGAGTGATTTCGTAACACCACGGTATGAAGCAGAGATGTCAAGCTTAAAATCTGCACGCACGAACTAAGCTCTCAGCATGATGCTGTTTATTTGAGTCATTTCGGATAAAAATAGTAAGGACAAGTTTGGACCGTCTTAATCAATTTATTAATTTGATCATCTGAATTTCATCTTGTGAGTGAGTTGTGTGATTAAACGAAGCTTTGCTTAAATCTGAGATATTAAAGTTATGATATGAATTAGTAACCCAAGTAAGGTTTAAGCTCATTCTTTTTCTTGAATGGAGGTTTATTTGGATCATAAAGAGTGGTCATGCTCAGCCAGGCATTATGTTACAAGGCTAGAGTTGGTCTTCTGTAACAGGACTTGGACGAAATTGAAGCCACCTCATGTAAGTTTCAAAATACGACAAGCATATTTTTACTAGCTTGATGAGTAACTTTATGCAAAAGAATAGTCGAAAAGGAAAGACGCTATGATCCTTGGACTAGTGGCGGATTGGATTCATTATTTTATTTGGGCAGAGTCTAGTCGTGATATTGTAATCTTCAGTAGCTTCTGCCTAGTAATGAGAGGACTTGCGTTGTCTACCCGGTTAATACTCTCCTTTCTTGTCATAAATTTTGTTAGTATGATCTTTTTCGGTGACTGCTTTGAGAGCATTTTGTCTCCTTTGCAGTGAATGTTTGTCTTTTCCCGTGATTGTTTGATAATATTTCTCTTTTCATCTCTTTTGAATATTCTTTTGGGCCTATTCCAGCCATTTTGCTTTTATTCGGGCTCTATTTTAAGCCACTATCGATTTAGCTGACACATTATTCTCCAGTAGGATAACATGTCATGCTCCGGTTGGCTGACACATTATCAGTCAGTTAGAACGAGTCAGTTGAGATGCCATCATTCAATTGACATGCAATCATTATTGTCAAGTGACATGTCATCTTCAATAAGTACCACGTTGCATAGAGCAATAGTTTCCTGTCAACACCACGTGCCTGTCCTGCCATAAGCTTCCATTTCCAGTTAGCGCCACGTTGGCGTCAAGCAACAAATCTCTTCAGTCAGCATCTTTCTCGAGCCAAGCCATTGGGCAATGCCACATAACTGCTCTAGTAACGGCTCATTAATGCCACACCACTATCCAAAAACATTTTATTCTAGTCGTCGTCAAATAGCATGTAACTTCTCAGTTTGCATTATGTCATCGTTCAACAAGTTATATTTCAGGTTAGTGCCTTAACAGAGCCATGCTGTCCTCGACATGTCACTTTAGTTAGTGCCACATCGACAATGCGTTCCCCTCTTTAGTGACCATTTAGCCACATCCTTGTGTGCTATATAAGAAATCTCTCTTGTTCATTGTTAATAAACCACGTCAGTAAGAAGTTTCCTCCTTTTTCCCCTCTTGTTTCAGACAACATTTCTCATGCATGCTTGACCTCACTGTTACGTCTGATTGAAATTGTTACCAAAATTATTGATCTCTAATAAACGGATGTGTTTTATCACGGGGACCATGAGATGCTATTCTGAATTTTGGAATCACAAGTTTCTGTACCTGATTAATATATATTGATTGTTAAGAATCGTAATCCTATTGGAGACAATTTCTCTACGACTCTACCTGCCAAGGTAGGGGTAATGTCTTTGTGCACTCTACCCTCTCCACACCCTACTTGTGGGACTATACTGTGTAACAAATTTATAATCTAGATTAGTGTAACAAAGTCTCCTCACTTCTCTTTTGTGAAAGTTAATTAGAGTGTGTAGTAGCTTTCACTATGTTTCATAATTGGAAATGAAACATCTTTTACAAGAATTCTCCATTATCGCTTACTTGTCCTCCAAATATCTACCTTCAGGGTGCCATGCAGATCTGGTGTGTGCTCAACGCCTATGGAAGTCACTTCTTCCCAATTGATTTCCAGTGAGATCTTTCCTCTTCCATTAGTGAAGGCCATGCTCTATCCGGGTGCAGTTGCTAATTGCTTAATCACAAGCAGGACGGTGCCAAGCTGGGATAATCTGCTAAACATCTACAACCTGACAAATGTGAAGGAGGCCTCAGCTGTAACTGACCTACAACGCTTGGAGGTTTGGCCTTAAATCTCTAATTTCCATTTTATGACTACTTTAAGATTGTGGTCTCCACACACACACACATACTCACACACCACACATGGAGGCAAATACAGTTCTGACCATGTTTGTTATGATATAGTTTATTAAAATTATTGAAGCTGGTTGTTAAAAGTTACTTCTTTATATTGTTTGTCATTCTTACTTTCATGAATTTGTCAGTCTGTGGATACCTATAGTGTTTGTTTGATTTTTTTTGGCCTTATTCGGTCGAGCAAGACATGTCTGCCATGCTTAATTTGTTATGATTGTACACTTTTTGACATATGCTCTGTCTTTCATTTATTTCCTTTCTCCCTATATTTCAAATTAGTTATCCTATGTTTTATATTTGGATTATATTGGAACTTTGTCCATATTCACTCATTGAATACTAATTTTTTTTAATAAAGTTAAAATTGAAGACTCATTGAATGCTATTTCCCTACTGAAAAAGTGACAGGGACCCACTTCTATATCAATAAAGGTCTTCCACTTTCAGAAAAGGGAAAATGGTCAAAAATACCCCTCAACTTTGGTTTATTGTTTGACTTTACCCTTGCCTTAAAAAAGAAGTTACTTTTACCCCTCCCATTTCTAATCTCACCATATTTACCCCTCATTTGATGGAAAGCCGCAAATTGACTTAAATTACCCAATTTCAATTAAAATCACCTAATTATCTATTTCAACCCTAACCCAAACCCGACCCACAATAGTAACAAATAACAATAAACCTCTCTCTTCTCTTTCTCTCGGCAACTTGTGCACACACATCTGATAAAAAGCTTAGAGCAGCAACAGTGGCTTCTCTCTCCTGGGGAAAGTTCAACTCCAACAGAAGTCTACATAATTGCAAGTCATGTAGGATAAGAATAGATTCCTTCAAGTATGATGCTTTATATAGTGAATATCGTTGAAGAGCTGCACTACATGGATGTGCATTTGGTTGTAGTGTAAACCTCGAAAGGAATAGAGCAGAAGCAGTTACAAAAGAAAGGAAGAATTTCACTCAACTGTAATCTAGTATGCTTAAATCTGAGAGGTAATAACCCAAGAACTCCAACTGCAAATTGAGGCTTTTATATTCTTCTTAAGAAAGTGCAGTAAAATTTCTCAGAAATATTTTCACAGTAGGATTCCCCATCTCAAATTGGAGCGAATTTAGCACACCAACTTCCATCATCACCACCTCTTCCTTCGTATGTACTGTCGCATTCCTTAATATAACAAAAATCTTCAACATGTGGTGGACTATTCTCCTTACACTTTCTTTAAATCACCAGATTAGAATGCACTCATTAGCAAAATCAAATGCATAACCGAATTTCCGATGGGGAATTCAATTCAATGTAATACTTATGCAGTAACGAGCATCGAAGAAACGTCTAAAATCTGAAGTTTTTGCCGACATGGGTTGAGTAAAGATGGACTGAAAGGTGTTTGAGGATGCTGTAATTACTTGTGCAACGATTGCGAAGAAACATCACGAATGGGCTAAGTTATCTTGGATGATGTTTCAATGGAGGAAGAGAATAAGAAGATGAGTGTGGGTTTTAATTTTATTTAATGGGTCAGGTTCGGACTAAAAGAGAATCGGATCATTTTAATGACATTGGGTAATTTGGGCTAATTTAGGGCTTTCCGTCAAATGAGGGGTAAATATGGTGAAATTAGTAATGGGAGGGGTAAATTTAACTTCTTTTTAACGGTAAGGGTAAAACACCAAACAATATAACAAAGTTTAGAGGTATCTTTGACCATTTTCCCTTCAAAAAACTAAGTCTATGTCCACGTTGGGATTACTTTTTATGAAAATACCTTTGGCACTAGTGCCCTGTAGAACTTACCAAAATTGGGGTATGAAATATGTACTTTAAGAGGGTTGTAGATCTGAAAAGAATATGATTCTTGCTAGAACCTGAGACTATTTTAAGAGGGATCGAAGAGCAGAAAAGGATATGATTCTTGCTGGTACCTGAGACAGTAGCTATGCAATTAAAACATAGGTTAAAATCTCTGATCTTATGTGTTCTTCAAAACTTTTGTAAGTTATCCAAGACATGAGGAAATATCAAAGTCTTTATGGAGTAGGAAGTATATACGGGAAAGAATTTCAAGAGATGCATTACAAGCTTCATGATCGTCGTGCTAATGGTGATGTCTTGAAATGCTTAGTCATCCTTGTTGTTGCTTGATAATATAATCGTCAGTTGTGTTGGTAGTGTACCTCAGGAATAAGTGAATATTTGGGAAGCAATCATATTATTTAGTAGTATTAAAGTACTAATAGATGTGATTTCAACATTTCCCTGGAAGAGTGACATGTTTATTGCTGTGGTTATGGGCTCATCTATGTCGTTTTTCTTTGAGAAAAAGGTTAAGTTGTGCCATTATTTGTTAACTAAAAGGGCATAGATGAGTTTTTTTCTCAAAGTTCAATGGCAATCATGGCTTTATAGGAAGTGCACTTTTAGAGCATACTAGTTTAGAGTACATTCTTTGCGCATTTTTAGAGTACAACACTGAAAATACTATAATCTATCAAAACGGCGACTTGCCAATTTTTTATTTCCTTCAATCTGGAATACTCTTACCCTACAATCCACATCAACATGTTAACAACTCAAACATACAAAACTTTAATTTCTTAGCGGATTGCCTTAGTTCTTTTAAAAAATCTTTTAGGATTTCCTATTTTACATATACAAGGATAAAAAGATGATCTACTAATATTAATTTTTTCTTGTGCCTATAGATTTTAGGACTTCTTATTTCTTTTCAAGATTATAGTTAGTTTTATAAAAATAATTAAATAATAATTTGAGAAAACTAAAAATGATAGTTTTGTCTATTATAGTTTACTGTACTAGCTTTGCACATGTGTCTCAGTAATTAAAATTATATAGAAAGAAAAAAATATAAAAAGTAACAACTGACATTAATATAAAATTATATCTATTTAAATCATATATATATATATATATATATATATATATATATATATATATATAGAGGATATCTCAAATATGCTGTTCTTTGTTGCATGCGTTCGTTTTTTTCTTTTCTTTTCATATAAGCATGTTTAAGACAAAAATGTATTAACTTGAACATATTATATGTACAAATATGCAATAATCACATTAACAACAGAAGAAATAAAGTTCAGAAAAAACATACCTTCAAATTAGCTTGTAATCGGCACGAAAATTTAATCACATGCTCCATATGTATATTTCTTTCACTTGCACAAGAATATGAAGAGTCGATCAATAAGGACTTATTTAGGTTTATTCATACTAGTATTTGGAAACGTGCAACACATGTATGTCTCGAAGTAACTTTTTATACATATATTAGAATGATTAAAATTCTATGAAAACATGTGAAGTTTAAACTTTGATTAGTAGTTCGCATACTTTGAAGTCACAATGACTTGAGTCCAAATGAAAACTTGTAACAATAAAATATTATAGAAAATTAAATTAAATAACTCTAATAGAAAGAGAACACAAAATAAATAGAGGAGAAGAAATACCAACATACACTTCCTTCTTAAGTTTTTAATCATAACAATATAGATGGAAAAAGTAATATATAGAATCAATACATTAGTTTTCAAAGTTACTGTTTAACTCCTTTCAAAACTATCAAGTGAAATTAAAGCATGAACCAAATAACACAATAGTGATAAAAACTTTACTACTTCAACTACAAAATGGAAAGAATGAACTTGGGTAAGGGTCCTCATAAAACAAAACAGATCAATTATGTAGGAAAAAATGAAGGAATATCAAAAGGTATCTTAATGTTTTAAATTAAATAGTTGGAGGTTATGAATATGAAAGACATGAGATTTATGAATACTAGGAGTAACAAATAAATAAATAATTATATATGAATCATGAACTTAAATATTTTTTTGAAAAAAAACAATAATTGAATAAAGAAGAGAAAACGATAAATTCAAATAACATAAGTGTTGTACCTATGTAAAAACCTGAAAAGACAACAAATCTAAAATCAATAAGTTAAATGAGAAATTATTCGGGAAAAGAGTTTGAAAAATACTTCAACTTTGGCCCGATATTAGATTTTGAATAGTAATGTGTCTACATGGACATATATATGTCGTTTAAATACACTATTAAATATTACAGGGGTAAATTGTTCTCTATAAAGTTTAATATCGTAAAAATAATTTCGAGCAAAATTAAAATATTTTTCAGATTCTTTTCCCAAATTATTATAATCAAAAAAAAGGAAGAAAGAAACTTCAACTAAGAAAACAGGGTGAGGGGGGGGGGGGAGATATATATTATTATAAGGAGAGGAAAAGGCAATAACTGTTAAGAGTTAGGAGTATTAAAACATTCATTTGAATCTAGAAGATCAATGACATGCCCATTTAAGGTGTAACTATTTATGAGTAAACGAAACAGCTATTGGACGAAAATTTGAATTTGTAATATCTGACACTTTTTCATTTTTAGTGTTATAATATTATGGTTTGATATAATTCCAATGTTATATTAATTTAATTAAATGTTCTATATGTTATAAATCAAGCTAATAAGAATATAATCATAAAGAAAAGAACGCAAGAGAAGTAGATAAAAGAGAAATTTTTTTCTTATTCAACTGTATGTTACAATGGTGAATGATATTTCTATTTATAGAAAGAAAAATCAACCAAAAGGTTACCATGTTTAATGCTACATTAGTAGATACATTGCTATCCCAAAAAGGTTCGTATCACCTTGGGAATACATATCCATAATAACAATAAGTTTATAATAACCTTAATGGACAATCCACTTAATTCAATGGATTATAACACTCCCCATTAGATGTTCATAGATAATGTGCTTCGTTAAAACCTTACTAGGAAAAATCCAGTGGGAAAAATTCTAGTGAAGGAAAAAGAGTACACATATCTTTTGATACGCATTATTTGTTGTCTCGTTAAAAATTTTGCCATGAAAAGCCCTAGTGGGAAAAAACCTCGATCAAGGGAAAACGAGTGCGACTCGTATTATACTCCCCCTTAATAAAACATCACATAACTTTTTACGATGATATCTCCAATCTTCGTAAATTGTGTTTGGTATATTCTTTTTCAAAGAAAAAACCACACATTTTTCGAATATGGTGTGTCATTTATCTCAACCAGACCGCATTCTCGACTTGCTTCATGGAGAATTTTTATTTCTGCATAGCAACATTTGCTCCATTGATCGTCAGGATATTATTGTGCCTCCATATGCAAACAAATAACGTGTTTGAGGTTGTGATTTATGCGGATCAGATAAATATTCTACATTTGCGTAACCAATCAGCTCTGACTTGAAATCTTCAAAATATAGTGAACCCATGTCTACGGTCCTTCAAAGATATTCAAGTATATGCATAACACCATTTCAATGTCCTTTTGTTGGGGAGGAATCGAATCTTGCCAGTAAATTTACTGCAAAAGATATTTGGTCGAGTATTGTTAGCAAGATGCATTAATACCTTGATTGCACTAAGATATGAAGTTTCATCACCAAGAAATTCTTCATCCTTTTCTTGAGATCAAAATGAATCATCATCTATTTCAAGTTACCTCATAATCATTGGGGTACTCAATGTATGTGAATAATCCAGTTAAAATCGCATCAACACTTTTCTGTGTGTGCACTGTAAGACAAATATTTCATTTGTCAAATTATCAATATGCAGGTCAAGATAAAATTTTGTCTTACTATGACCTTTTCATAAAAATACAAGAACAATTAGGGTCATTGTTTTTGGACCCTTTTTCTTCCTTGATTATTTCAATCCATATAAGTATTTTTGAAGCTTTATTGAAAAAATTTCCTTCAAACTTTTATATGTTTCAGACACCTCAATTGCTTCAAGGATTTTCACATAGTCTTCATTATATAGACATGACAATTATTCATTATATGCATTCAAGTTTTCCATATATTGCTAGATCAAAACAAACTTCATTGCTTCCACCATAGGAGAAAACATCTTCAATAATGTCAAGATTCTTGCGCAAACCTTTATGCCCCAAAGCACAAGTCGTACTTGATATCTCACGGTTATACTATCACATAATACTTTATTTGTACCCCACTGACATTATACCTTGATTCATGGACTATCAGTCCAAAACGTCACTTTTATAAGTGAAACAAATATACTTGAATTATTCATTTTTATTTGGTCAATCATTTATCTGTCCACACTCTATGACAGATTTGAATTCAAGATCCTTGTCACAATTTATATCATTGAGCACTATCACATATCAAAGATACCGTCCACAGTTATTTAATATCGATTCCAACAAGACATAACTTATCGAGATCTCTTCATTTTTCATCATTTTTCAGGTACCTAAACCTTTGTTTTATGAAATGTTATGTCATGGTGCTCTTTATAGCACTTGCCTCATTATTATGACCAATTGATCATTTGCTCCTCTCCTTCTTCAAAGAATTTTATATTTGGAATCGATTGGTCTATTATGCTTCCGGCGTATTATAGTCTTCGTCCTTCAAGGACTTCACATTAGAGCATTTGTAGCTGAATTATATCATAGGGTCAATATATTCATCTTGCAATTGATTTACAACATTATGCAAATGAATTATCTGTTGAACTATACATTCATATATTTATTTAATGAGGATCTAGATAATTCATCATTAAACTCGCACATAATTTTCAGCTGTCAATCATCTCTCCCCCTAATATTAGAAATTCTAACATTCATTCCAACCTTATTTGAAATTCATCATTGTACGTGGAATTTAAATCATATCCGCACATTCAATATTTTAGATGAAAATTATATGGTTCGTAACTGAACCAATTTTAATGGGGAAACCTTGTTGGCTTGATGCATACATATGTTGCTACATGTTAAATAAATTTATCTCATACCAAATCTTATTTTGGAGTTTTCCTCTCATACCCATGATCTAGCTATAATTGGAGGCATACAATTTCTATTAAATTAACCAGCATTATCGATACAATTTCATAGTTGGAACTGTGCTCTTAATTTAACAATTGAACAAGCAATCTTACAAACACCAATTTGTAAGTTGAAACAAAAGCACATGTGATTATCATCGTATAAATGCATTTATCATATAGTTGCAAGCGATCCACATGACGGGTGAATGGGCCCATATTCACCTTTTTATATGTTCCTAAAATTTCAGAGAATTACAATTCCAACCGTAGCTGATACAATGATCATTTTATCAAAGATTAAGAGAACAAGCAACACAAAGAATTCTTGAAGAATCTTTTATTATTTCGTCATATAATCCACATGAACTCTCAATTACATTTGCATCACATTCAAAACCAGGATGGTCAACCGGTCATGCCAACTAATCTTTATTTTAGTACACTTGCAATTTACTCGGTGATTTCATCAACATGTCCATGCTTATGTTCAACAAACAAAAGGAAACAATTGGATAACCTTTTACATTAATATTTATATCCCCTTTTGGTTGTAGTGATTTAGGTCTCAATATTTATTTTCAATTCATCCGAATCTTAAAAAGTATCTTTTGAGACTTAGTACAACCCCATTATTATTCCTCTGATAATAACACAACTCGTTAGATCATCCTGTTAATTTTGTGTACTATCACATATTGTATAACACCCAGTGTTGTGGATGGCGAGACGCGACAAAAGGCGACAAGGGCCTGCCTCGCCACACGGCGAGGCGAGCGGCGAGGCTCTTGCCTTTTAAAAAAAGGCGCCAATTAATACCAAAAATTAAAAATATTTAATTGCATATTTAATCCAAAGTCTTAATAGCAATAACACATATTAACAAATATTCAATTCAAAAACCAATAGTAGATACTAAAATGTCTAAAACTTTAAAGACCAAACAATTCAAAA